GTAAATGAGTGCTGGTCTTTAACCACAACTACTGTCAGACCTGTGGTTTGTGTCTGCAGTCCAGCACCTCCCTGCACCAGGGTCTGGCTCTGCTGCAGGGCCCTCTGCACCCATCAACACCCAAACCAAGGCTGCTATGGCACCCAAAAATCCACTGGTCTTGTTCTGGTCCTCTACACAGACAGGGATGAATGACTGTGCTCAGGCTCCAGTGAAGTGACCAATAAATAAACAAACTAGAAGACAAAGAGATGCTGTGAGTCTGAAAAGGAAAATTTAACCAATGTAAAACCAGTATCTATCTGGTCTGTTCACATGTCCACAAGATCAGCTTAAAAAGGGCTTCACAAAGGATTTTTATGTGCACTACTTAGTATCCTTGGATGGTACTCTGGATTCAGTCTACCCCAAAGGGAGTCCAATCTGTTGATTACTGTTGGCACGAATAGGAAACATTCTTAGGTGCACAACTGTTACTTCAGGCAGTTTGGGAATCCAAGGGAGATGAGGTGAGGATAAGCAACTTAAACTTCATAAATGACTGGCAGCACTGGTGAGCACAGGTAAGGCATAAGGAAATTTCACCCTTCTTGCCCTTTCCCAAGGTAATAATGACAAACTGGCCATACTACAAATCCTTAGTTCACTACAGCTACATTTTGTCTCTAACTCTACAAGCTGGGCTACCAGAGGACTTCTGGGAATTAGTAAGCAAAGTCCATTTCACAAACAGAGCCAAAACTGCTCTGCAGGACCAGACCTGTGTCAGCACAGCAGCCCCAGTGCCTCTGCCAGACCCGAGCAGCATGTGCAGGGGCTGGGATCACAGCAGTGCCCTGCTTCCACACCTTCCAAACACTTCTGCTCTTTGCATTTTGCATGCCCTGGGAAGCTCAGCTGCACCTCAGACTTTGAAAGCACCTTGTTATTTACTCAGCATTTCAACTGTACTGGGGAAGCTGGCCAACAAGCAGGACCTGCAGCACGACCAAAGACTGATGGGTTGGGCTGGGCTGTGTGCCAGCTGTCCCAGTGTCACCTGGTGAGCAAATCACCTGGATGTCATCTGACACTAAACGTACAACAGAAAATAACCCCCGAAACCAGAGGGTGTTCAGGTGCCACAGGGACAGGCACAGTTTGAGAACGCAGAGTAGAAGTTGTTTAAGGGCTTCAGCTGGCTTCCACAGAAGATGATTCCATTTCCCAGGGAGAAGGAATCCTTCTGAGAGCAGCAAAGCCAGCCCAGCTGCACGGGCTGCGAGCCACATCTGACACGTGCCAGGCTGGTGTGGTCCCCTGCCCTGGCACTGGCAGTGTCACAGGGCTCTGGGGAGGACAGGCCTGTCCTCTGCTGGGGACATGCCCAGGACATGCCCTGGCAACTTTGAAAGCACCTTGTTATTTACTCAGCATTTCAACTGTACTGGGGAAGCTGGCCAACAAGCAGGACCTGCAGCACGACCAAAGACTGATGGGTTGGGCTGGGCTGTGTGCCAGCTGTCCCAGTGTCACCTGGTGAGCAAATCACCTGGATGTCATCTGACACTAAACGTACAACAGAAAATAACCCCCGAAACCAGAGGGTGTTCAGGTGCCACAGCGACAGGCACAGTTTGAGAACGCAGAGTAGAAGTTGTTTAAGGGCTTCAGCTGGCTTCCACAGAAGATGATTCCATTTCCCAGGGAGAAGGAATCCTTCTGAGAGCAGCAAAGCCAGCCCAGCTGCACGGGCTGCGAGCCACATCTGACACGTGCCAGGCTGGTGTGGTCCCCTGCCCTGGCACTGGCACGGGCAGTGTCACAGGGCTCTGGGGAGGCCAGGCCTGTCCTCTGCTGGGGACAAGCCCAGGAGCACGCCAGGCACAGGGCTCTGCTCTCCCAAAGCAAACAGCGTTTCGTTCTCACTGTGGCGCTTCCCACATCTCACAAACTTCCCGGAGGTCTCCAGCATTTCCACTGGGGCTGTGCAGGCAGCAAAGGAAGCACAAGAGCCGAGGTGGCCCGTGTAAAACCGAGCTGGCTGCAGCTGTGTGCCGGGGTCTGGAGCCCACAGCGCTGCCGGACCCACCGGGACACCCTCCCCAGCTGAGAGCCGCAGCACAGCCACGCTGCCTCAGGCTGAATCACCAGCTAAAGGGATTATTAACTTCCAGCTGCGTTGGGCCCCATTTCCTTTGTGCAACAGCGTGCTTAATTGCAAATTCTAATTTACTGTTGCAGAGCACAAGCCCAGGTCCAAGGATAAATTAAAATGACAGCTCTATGGGAAGTTCAGAATTTAACTTTCTAACTTATCTGATTTGATGCAGATACAAATATTTAAATCCAGCCAAGGAAACAAACAGCCTGTTTCTAAGAAGTTCCAGCTGGGAAGGGGGGAAGGAAGGATTTTGTAGGAAGAGAGGCTACAACAATCAGTGTACTGTCAGTGCCTGCAGGAGCAGAACAGCCGTGCCGAGCTTTGGCTGGTGCTGTGCTCCTCCCCTGCGAGGCTCATTTGGGTTTGAATTTCTTGAGCTTTTTTTCCCCTTTAGTGAAAAACTACTTTGCTATCCTGAGAGTAAGAGCTTTTACTTTTAAATCTCTTTTGTACAACTGCCCTGTTCTCTTTTCAAGGGAAACACTGAGCCTGTGAGTGAAACACACGGAGCCTGGCACACGATTGGTGGCCATCCTCACATGATAGATGTTAGTTCTGTTGAAACAGATCAAACCTAAATTCAAACTACAGTAAAAAAAAAAATTAAAATCTGAATGCTGAAATTTCAAATCAGATTTCTAGTAATCTGGATTTTTTAGCACAACTGAATCCTGAGACAATCACAGACCCAGGGCTTTGGTGCTGCCAAGGAACACAGTGCTCGGGATACTCCCTGAGCAGCTGCCAGAGAGGATGAGGAGGAGAAGGTGATGTGGTGAGGAGCTCACACAACGTCACTGCCCGCAGGCGGAGAGCCAGCCCTGCGCCGGGTCAGTGCCAGCTCCCTGCCAGCCCAGTGCCAGCCCAGTGCCAGCTCCCTGCCAGCCCAGTGCCAGCCCAGTGCCGGCCCTGCCGTGCCAGCCCAGTGCCAGCCCAGTGCCAGCTCCCAGCCAGCCCAGTGCCAGCTCCCTGCCAGCCCAGTGCCAGCCCAGTGCCGGCCCTGCCGTGCCAGCGCTCGCCATGTGCTCCCCACACACGGGGAGGCGGACGCTGGCACGGCCCCAGGGCACCGTGACCTTCCCTGCCACGCCAGGCGGGCACCCGGCGGCAGGAGCAGCCACGGACAGACAGACTGCACACTGACAGACAGACTGCACAGTGACTGACGGACAGACAGACTGCACACCTGACAGACGGACAGACAGACTGGCGCTCGCCATGTGCTCCCCACACACGGGGAGGCGGACGCTGGCACGGCCCCAGGGCACCATGACCTTCCCTGCCACGCCAGGCGGGCACCCGGCGGCAGCAGCAGCAGCCACGGACAGACAGACAGCCACGGACAGACTGCACACTGACTGACGGACAGACAGACTGCACACCTGACAGACGGACAGACAGACTGCACACTGACTGACAGACAGACTGCACACTGTCTGACGGACATACAGACAGCCACAGACAGACAGACTGCACACTGACAGACTGCACACTGACTGATGGACACACAGACAGCCCACTAACCAATGGACAGCCACAGACAAACTGCACAGTGACTGACTGCACACCAACAGACAGACTGCACACTGACGGACGGACAGACAGACTGCACACCAACAGACAGATGGACGGACGGACAGACAGCCACGGACAGACTGCACACTGACTGATGGACACATAGACAGCCCACTGACCGATGGACAGCCACGGACAGACTGCACACTGACTGACGGACAGACAGACTGCACACTGAGGGACAGACTGCACACTGACAGACAGACAGTCCCAGCCCAGCCCCGCACAGCCCAGCCCGGCCAGCAGAGAGGCTCGCCCTGCACACTTCACCACCAGGCTGCCAAAATCCAAAGAGAGGCTCAGATCTTCTCTGGAGCCCGTCAGGCCCCAGTACAACCACAGCCCAAAAACCTCTGTTCAACACAGAGAGTGGCTGGGTACAGCCAGGGTTTGCCCCAGCCAAAGTTCTCTGAGGGAAGCTCTTGGTGAAAACTAAGAGGAGGGCTGAACTGATCTAATTCTGAGGCATTACTGACTCTCCAAAGCAAAGCTGAAGTGAATAATCAATTCTCAACACCAGAGGGAAATGGTGTTTGAGAGCGACTGAAGAAAAATGGAAACAAAGTGAGAAAAGATTACGTTTTACTGTGGAAAAGACCATTGTGATCAATCCTCAGCACCTTTTATTCCAGTCAAAATGTACAAGGTGTACTGGCTCTCTATTTGCACTATAAATGCAGCAACTCTTCCAGTTTCCAGCTGAATTTTACTTGCATTACACGCCACTGATTTCACATTCACAGGGGACATCTACAACAATTTCTTTTGTGCTACTATTAACCACTTTCACAAACATTAAACAAGCAAACACTAATACTTATTTCCCTCCAGCTACAAACACAACTGATTTTTACCCGTGCTTTCTCCCAGATTCACTCCTGGTGGTGCCCCATCCACCTACAGCTTCATGCTACAACCTCAGATTCTAGGCTTTCCTTGCCTCCAAGCAAGACCTGTACTCACATCACTGTCTCACACCACTCCATCATCACTCCATCTCACCAAAATTTTGAGACATACCAAATCTTTACAGAAATCTGTCTTTTGGTTAAGCCAACAGAAAACCTCCCCAAACCATACATATTAAAATTCACCTGACCCCAAAAGGAAACAACAGAAGTTCAGTCAGCCTGGACCTCCAAGATGACCTGAATTATCTGCTCCTGCCAGCACCACTTCTGGCAGGGATGATCTGTGGCTTGGGACTCGCAGAAGGGGAGTTTCCCTGCAGCCCAAAGGCAGCTCAGGCCCTGCCCAGCCCCAGCCCCAGAGCTGCACGTACCTGGATGTATCGCAAGGCACTCCTGAGGACGCTGAGGTTTGAGGTCTTCTTGTCATCCACGTTGGGGATGTTGCGCTTTAATGTCTCAAAGCACTCTTTCAAATGTGCACGTCTAAAGAAAACACAGGTGGGTCGTCAGCTGCCAGGGGACACACCAGGAACCAATTCCACCAGAGGGGAGAGCCTAACTGGGGCCTTAATCCAGCAAAGCACCTGCACCTGTGCATAGCAGCTCACCCCAGCAGGGCCTGTGCCTGGGCTCTGTCCCAGCTTTGTTAGGAACACCGTGCAGCCTCCAATGAAATAGCTCACTGTGCTGGTGCTTTCACTGCCACCATACTTACAGTTTAGCTAGTCAGGCTTGTAAGAGTCTTGGGTCAGAAACTGATGTTTATTCTGTATTCACATTATACACTGACCCTTCATTTGGGGTATTTTACTCTTTTTAAATCAGGGTCACACTGTTATGCACTGTTACTGCTTTGCAGGATCAGGGCGGTTGGGATGCAATGATGCAGTTAAACAGATCATATTGGGAAGCAAGAAATGCAGAACTGAGCTATAAGAAAGCCAAGCAATACTGCAAGATTCAGTAAAAGTCACTAAGAATTTTATTCAGGTTATCTGTTTAAAAAACAAGCAAGCAAACAAACAAAAACCCGCCAAAGCCAAACAAATATTGACAGACAATAGGCCAAAAAAAGGAGGGGAATTACAATTAAAAAACCCAAACCCCTGGCTTTCTACGCACCTGTTCTTCTCCAATTTATTATGTACTTCCCTGGTCCCAACCCTGTAACCCAAACAGAACAAAGATCAGCTCAGTGTCAGGTTGAAAACTCCTGCCTTGTACCTGTGCTTGCAACAGTGTCTGTATGGCAAGATGCAAAAGCAGCAGAAGTGTTCATAAATCACTGGTTTAACACCAAGTACATAAATATTTCTGCCTATACTGTTTCAAGATAAACTCCATACTCTACATCAGAGCACAGAAGATACAAACAGGTGTGATGTCTGTGTATATGCAGGCACGGCTACTACCAACAACACGGAAAGACACAAAGTATGAATTTTAAGTATTTGTAGAGACCCAGAGAGCCCAGATTCAGACCTGGCTCTGATCTATGCCTACACTCCAGTGGGAGAAGGTTTGAGCAGCTCCAAATTCAGCGTAAGGGTTTGGGCAGACACTTCCAACTGCTTTGGGTTTTCACTGTGCGTGAAACAACACAGCTGAGGATAAACATGGAATGAAGCAATACAGGAATTCTCCAGTCACTGCTCAAGGAAAAACCAGCGTGAGTTTCTGGTTTTGGGGTTTGAGTCCACCCACTCTCTGAATCAGAGGAGTATTTTTAGGAAAAGCCAAACAAATACATGTTATCTCAGTTCTTCAGCTCAGTTTTTCAGTGATAAGGTACATTAGCAGATGTGGAGATTTCAAGTATCTTTCATACACTGTGCAAAATAATTATTTGCCTTTGACTGAAAATACAGGACATTGAGGTAATACTATTCAATAAACTGTCACAAATATTTGACAGCATTTTCCCATGAAACATTTACAGGCTGAAAAAGACATGTTTTTGTGCTTATGGAGCAATTCTGGGGGGAGGCAGTGGCGATGCTGTGCTCCACACTGGCAGCACAGCCCCCAGCTCCCAGGGCAAAGCTCAGTCTGGCAGCACAGCAGCAGCTTGTGGGTGCACTTGCAGCCACCCCACTGCCCCCAGCCCGGTGTGCAGCCTGCCCTGCAGAAACCTCCTCCACAGCTCCCTGAGCCCACACAACGACAGTGATGGGCTCTCTTCTTTAGTGCCCAGACTGACAGACCCTTCCAGCAGCAGACAGGCTCTGAAGATCTCAATCTGCTTAGAGGAATTACACTGGCGTTTTACTGAAGCCTTTATCTTCACAAACTCCTGTCTGCATTACTTTCACCGTTTCTGTGCATTTTGGGATCTGTACGTCCCAATGAACCCTTTTTCTGCCCACTGCACATCTCCACCAGTCCCCACGGCATTCCCACGCCATCTCCAACACCCCTGCCAAGAGACATGCCCTGCTGCAGGCAGCCAGGAGAACAGTCAGAGGCACAGCCAGCAGGGAACACTGAACAGATCCAGGTCACTTACACTGCAGGAAAATTGAGGGGCCAAAGGAAACAGGTAAAACTGCTGCAAAGAAGGGAATGGTTTGTTCTCCCAGTCCACAAGCAGTAATACCAGACTCCCTACTGGGATACTGTGGTCTGGAAACAACCACCTACAGAGATGGCAGGGTCTCCACCAGCCAAAGCTCTTAAGAACAAGCCAGAAAAACACTAACCTGGAGCAACATCAGAGCCACAAGTCCTGTCAGAGGGCGAGGGCAGACTAAATAGCCTTCAGCCCCTTCCAGCTGCAAGATTCTGAGCAAGCAAGAGGCCCTTAGCACTTGCAGCACTGAGAAACTGGTGATCTCTGTCCTCAGAATAACATCTCCCAGAGCCCATTCCAGTTTCAAGAGAGCTCCCACAAGCAGCAGCGCACTTTGATTTCCCTGACCAGTACAAGCAGTGATCTTTTGCCAAACATAACGCGAGACACCACTTGAGATCAGACGTGCAGGGCTGGGACTCGCTTCCTAACACAGTTCTGGCTTGCAAAAAAAAAATCCTTATACAAAATCTTACAGTGTGGAGTGAGGGAGGAAAATAAAAACCCGTCAAGCCAAAAAGCCCTGCTCTCAGCAATTCGAAGACATTCAACATCCACAGGTCTCGGCGTTTCTGACCCAACAACACTTCGCACAGGCAGGAGCCGCCCCGGAGAGACGCGGCTTTGCTTGTCCCTCCTGGACACGGACGCACACGCGTGCACTCACCCTCCAATTCTCTTCTTGAGCTCGATGGGTTTCATGTCGTCGGCCGGCGCCAGCTTCAGGGCGCCGAGCGGCGCGGGCGCGGCCGGGTGCTGCAGGGGCTGCAGGGGCTGCGGCACCACATGGTGCTGCGAGATGGCCAGCACCGGCGCCGCGTACGGCGGCAGCGGCTTGGGGCTGCCCGACGGCGGCGTGGCCGCCTTGCCGTCCGGCGGCTGCGGCCGCTGGATCGCCGGGGCCACCGAGGGCGCTTCCTTGGGCACGCCGGCGGCGCTCACGAGGGGCTGGTGGCGTTGCACGAGCGGCGGCGACAGCGCGGCCTGGGCTGCCTGCTGCGGGGAGCTGGTGACAACGGGGATGGGGATGACCGAGATGGGCGCTGCCAGGGGCGCGGGCGGCAGGGGCACGGGGCCCGGCGGGGAGATGGGCACCAGCAGCTCGCTCCGGGGCTCCTCTGGGGACAGGGTGCTGTTGGCCCGTGGCACGCTGGCCTTGCCCGCCTTCTTCTGCTCCTGCTCCCTCTCCAGGCACAGCTTCTCATGCTTCTCATTCTCCTCTGAAAGAGAAACATCCACAGTGAGGAACGGCGCTTCCCTGAGCAGCCTACCCCAGCAGGGGCAGGATCCCTAAGTTAAAACACCCTGGGTTTTATACTATCCTGAGTGAATCCCGGCTCAACGGACACTGCACCGATACAAACACATCAGGGCACCTCTTTACTGCTGCGGATTTTAATCAAGCTCTTAAACTTGGCTTTGATGTGTGTATGTTCCTATATGTTTTCAGAGCACCAGACAAAGTAAATGAAATCTGTGTGGCCCGACTAGCAAAATAAACCTCATCAAACGCAGCCCAGGGCTCTGGCTTTAATTGCGTGAACATGGCACAAACAAAATTTATTTATACAAGTCCTGTGGCGCCAGTGGCCCTGGCATCTAGACATTGCACAGCCTTAATCAAATATCTCCAAACCCACCATCCGTGAGGCTCAGCAGATCCAGCTCCTGACAACCTCTGAGGAGCTGCAATGAAAGGTGGTGCAGCAACTCCTTCACAGTAATATACAAACATTTGGAAAACAAAACCTTAATTTATCAAGGGAGGGATTAGAGGAAGGACGTGGACAGTCGGGTGTTCTGTCTTACACAGTCACCAAAATCAGGTAATTCAGAGGAAGCTCTAAGAAACATCCCAACAGAGCCTCTCCCAGGAGAAGCTTTGGCTCAACTGAAACGCTGGAGTCAGAGCATGTATTTAGGAAATTAGAGAGAAGAGCATGTATGCTGCCACCTGGAATTACCAGGTTATGTTCAATCCCCCAGTGATCTTCAAGACAATCTGTACTGAACACAACAAGTGGAGAAAGGGGAAAAGGGCCAGGGCACAGAGCTGCCCAGACCTGGCCATCCCCGAGCGGCCCTGCCACTACCGGGATACTTTCTAACCCATCTTTTGATTTTGAGAGGTACAGCGCAAAAGCTACAGAGAGCAAAAAAAACCAACAAAACTCTTACTCCCGACTCTGAATGCCCTTTGGTTCGTGTGACCGCACAGCAACAGCGACCCAGATCCAGTCGACACAATTTCCTGAAGTTCAGCTGCAGCAGCAGCCCAAACACAGCCCAACCTCCCTTGGAGAGCACGAGCCAGGTCAAGCAGCCAGCTGCCAAGGTAAACACTGTCCTGACCCACACCTGGAGAAACACCCCGTGCAGCAGGCTCTAGCCCTGGGGCTGCAGCCCCACTCTGTGACCCTGCAGCACTCACAGCACCACCACGTGAAGTTCTGTCATCAGGAAGGGTTTCTCATCTTCCCAGGGCTGCCCGAGACTCAAATCCAAAGTTTTCATTCAACTTCTGCAGCACAAGTAGGGTGAGTGAGCAAAAGATCTGACTGACTCCAAAATAGGAGGGAGGTTGCTTAAGCAGCAGCTGAGCCTTAAAGCTGCATTTCTCTGTATTTTCTCAAAATATTTCAGAGTATTATCAACAGTTCCTTAAAGGAAGAAGCGAAGCAGCAGAGGGTGGCAAAAAACTCAGCAGGAATCCCCGGATCCAAACACAAATCTTAGCTACCAACAATTTCAGAGTGGTTCAGTTCAATGACATTAATAACTAATACAGAAAAGCCCTTTGTCTGCAGATCTTTTGCTCCACTTTGCTGCTGGTTGGCAGCCAGAGCCAGCGCAATGGCCCTGGCACAGGGTGCATGAGGAAACCCAGCCCGAGGACCTGCTGACTCACGGTGCTCCCTGAGCACGTCCAGCCCCGGGGACACAGCGCGGCCGAGGCTGAGCACACCGCCGTGCCAGGCTCACGGCAGGGCTCGGCCCACGGCAGGGCTCGGCCCCACGGCAGGGCTCGGCCCCACGGCAGGGCTCGGCCCCACGGCAGGGCTCGGCCCCACGGCAGGGCACGGCCCCACGGCAGGGCTCGGCCCCACGGCAGGGCTCGGCCCCAGGGAAGGGCTCGGCCCCACGGCAGGGCACGGCCCCATGGGCCCCACGGCAGGGCTCGGCCTCACGGCAGGGCTCGGCCCCAGGGAAGGGCTCGGCCCCAGGGAAGGGCTCGGCCCCACGGCAGGGCACGGCCCCATGGGCCCCACGGCAGGGCTCGGCCCCATGGCAGGGCTCAGCCCCACGGCAGGGCACGGCCCCATAGCAGGGACCGGCCCCATGGCAGGTCACAGCCCCACGGCAGGGCTCAGCCCCACGGGCCCCACGGCAGGGCTCAGCCCCACGGCAGGGCTCAGCCCCACGGCAGGGCTCGGCCCCACGGGCCCCGCGGCAGGGCTCGGCCCCACGGCAGGGCTCAGCCCCACGGCAGGGCTCAGCCCACGGCAGGGCTCGGCCCCATGGCAGGGCTCAGCCCCACGGCAGGGCTCAGCCCCACGGCTGCGCCCGGGCTGGGAGCAGGGAGCATCACAGCAGCCTTTAATGGCAAGCCGTGGCAGTGCCGGGGTCTGCTGAGCACAGCAGGACCTGCCCGGGCTGCTGGAGGTGACACGGCCACAGCGGAGCAAGCACCCAGCCAGGACACCCAGACCTGCACCCACATCTGCACCCAGCCAGGACACCCAGACCTGCACCCACATCTGCACCCAGCCAGGACACCCAGACCTGTACCCAGCCAGGACACCCAGACCTGCACCCAGATCTGCACCCAGCCAGGACACCCAGACCTGCACCCACATCTGCACCCAGCCAGGACACCCAGACCTGCACCCACATCTGCACCCAGCCAGGACACCCACATCTGTACCCAGCCAGGACACCCAGACCTGCACCCAGATCTGCACCCAGCCAGGACACCCACATCTGTACCCAGCCAGGACACCCAGACCTGCACCCAGATCTGCACCCAGCCAGGACACCCACATCTGCACACAGCCAGGACACGCACATCTGCACCCACATCTGCACACAGCCAGGACACCCACATCTGCACACCCAGACCTGCACCCAGCCAGGACACCCAGATCTGCAGCGAGGGCAGCACCAGTGCAGGACCCAACCTGGAACTCCTACAACCAGCTACACCCATCGGGAAGGGAGAGAACAGGGAAGCAAGGTTAAAGCAGGCATTACTGATCACAAGTATTTATGTAAATGTCTCTAGAAGCAGGTGCAGCCCTCGGGCTGCTGACAATCTGCCAGTAAGGCCTTTGGTGTTGCTCCCTTGAGCTAAAGAGTTTATTTCAAGGATTTTTTTCTTCATACTCTTAACAAGGGGACTGAGGACAGAACAAACCATGGGAGGTAACCAGTCATGAGAACTCCCAGGGGATCTGAACCACAGCAAGAGGGGTCCTGGAATCCCACCCTGCCCACACCACTCTGCCTGCCAGCAGGTTCACATGGCCAGAGCAGGCACCTCAGGTCCCTGGCCACACCACCCAGGCAGTGACAGCAACATCAGCAGGCACGGCACAGAACAGCAAATCCTGTCCTGGTAGGACACAGAAACAGGGTCAGCACCCCTGACCAGCGGCCTGGTGCTATTTAGGGCCTCGACGGTCTGAGTACACAGCACCAGGCACTCTTTGTTACCTAATAATCTGCTGCGTTTAAATATATCTTGTCCCTTTTGCCTGCCCTGGAAATGCCACCCATCTGTCACAGCAGGGCTGCCAGCGCCAGCCAGGAGCAGCGGGCACAGCCACACGTGCCCCCGGGCCGGCAGCAGGCAGGGCACGGCCCAGCCTCCCGGAGCCACGCCGAGCAGCAGGCTCCGAGGGATGTCAGAGCCTCTGTGTGCTCCGAGGGATGTCAGAGCCTCTGTGTGCTCCGAGGGATGTCAGAGCCTCTACCTGCTCCGAGGGATGTCAGAGGCTCTGTGTGCTCCCAGGGATGTCGGAGCCCTCTGTGTGCTCTGAGGGATGTCAGAGCCCTCTGTGGGCTCCGGGGGATGTCAGAGCCCTCTGTGGGCTCCGGGGGATGTCAGAGCCCTCTGTGGGCTCCGGGGGATGTCAGAGCCCTCTGTGGGCTCCGGGGGATGTCAGAGCCCTCTGTGGGCTCCGGGGGATGTCAGAGCCCTCTGTGGGCTCCGGGGGATGTCAGAGCCCTCTGTGGGCTCCGGGGGATGTCAGAGCCCTCTGTGGGCTCCGGGGGATGTCAGAGCCCTCTGTGGGCTCCGGGGGATGTCAGAGCCCTCTGTGGGCTCCGGGGGATGTCAGAGCCCTCTGTGGGCTCCGGGGGATGTCAGAGCCCTCTGTGGGCTCCGGGGGATGTCAGAGCCCTCTGTGGGCTCCGGGGGATGTCAGAGCCCTCTGTGGGCTCCGGGGGATGTCAGAGCCCTCTGTGGGCTCCGGGGGATGTCAGAGCCCTCTGTGGGCTCCGGGGGATGTCAGAGCCCTCTGTGGGCTCCGGGGGATGTCAGAGCCCTCTGTGGGCTCCGGGGGATGTCAGAGCCCTCTGTGGGCTCCGGGGGATGTCAGAGCCCTCTGTGGGCTCCGGGGGATGTCAGAGCCCTCTGTGGGCTCCGGGGGATGTCAGAGCCCTCTGTGGGCTCCGGGGGATGTCAGAGCCCTCTGTGGGCTCCGGGGGATGTCAGAGCCCTCTGTGGGCTCCGGGGGATGTCAGAGCCCTCTGTGGGCTCCGGGGGATGTCAGAGCCCTCTGTGGGCTCCGGGGGATGTCAGAGCCCTCTGTGGGCTCCGGGGGATGTCAGAGCCCTCTGTGGGCTCCGGGGGATGTCAGAGCCCTCTGTGGGCTCCGGGGGATGTCAGAGCCCTCTGTGGGCTCCGGGGGATGTCAGAGCCCTCTGTGGGCTCCGGGGGATGTCAGAGCCCTCTGTGGGCTCCGGGGGATGTCAGAGCCCTCTGTGGGCTCCGGGGGATGTCAGAGCCCTCTGTGGGCTCCGGGGGATGTCAGAGCCCTCTGTGGGCTCCGGGGGATGTCAGAGCCCTCTGTGGGCTCCGGGGGATGTCAGAGCCCTCTGTGGGCTCCGGGGGATGTCAGAGCCCTCTGTGGGCTCCGGGGGATGTCAGAGCCCTCTGTGGGCTCCGGGGGATGTCAGAGCCCTCTGTGGGCTCCGGGGGATGTCAGAGCCCTCTGTGGGCTCCGGGGGATGTCAGAGCCCTCTGTGGGCTCCGGGGGATGTCAGAGCCCTCTGTGGGCTCCGGGGGATGTCAGAGCCCTCTGTGGGCTCCGGGGGATGTCAGAGCCCTCTGTGGGCTCCGGGGGATGTCAGAGCCCTCTGTGGGCTCCGGGGGATGTCAGAGCCCTCTGTGGGCTCCGGGGGATGTCAGAGCCCTCTGTGGGCTCCGGGGGATGTCAGAGCCCTCTGTGGGCTCCGGGGGATGTCAGAGCCCTCTGTGGGCTCCGGGGGATGTCAGAGCCCTCTGCCTGCTCAGAGGGATGTCTGCCTCTGCCTGCTCCGAGGGATGTCAGCCTCTGCCTGCTCCTGCCTGTCACTAGGGACACTGTCAGCACCAAGAGTTTATCAAGGGCATGTGCCTTTGCAGAGCCAAGCATCCCACTCTGCGTGTGCTCAGTGGAGAACGTCTCTCACTCCAGGAACAGCGAGGCACTTCTGTGGTGTTGTTTTCTGAATGGTCTGAAGTGTTTTTCTGAATCATGCAACGCTTCTGGGAACTTATCCTGCACACTTTGAACTGCTACTGCCCTGGAGAAGAGTGCCCTGGGTGTCTCTCCCTCTGGTATGCACCATGTCACCCGCAGGAGTCACTCCAGGCTGCTACCAGGAAGGTGCTGGGTACAGAAGAGTCTCCAGGTATTTACTACTCCAAAGGCTGCCCTGGGGGGGACAAGTCTTGCCAAGAGGAAGGGCAGGCTGGAGCCTGGAGGCTGGATTCTGTTTCTGCAGGTCCCTGGCTCTGCAGGGGAGAACCAGGAAGGGGGAGATAAGAACAGTCAGCAGAACTGGAGCCCAGCAAAGCTCAGCATCAGCCAAGCAAGCTCTGAGTCACAGCAAATGCTGCTGACACCAGAGCTGCAGCACACAGCCACGGGCACTTCCAGGCCCAGGAACAAGCTTGCAAGACTGAGAACCCTCTAAAATCAGGACACTTTTCTGACTCCTTCTGAATTTTGGTTGACAACAGCACAAGCCCCACTTTTCTCTCACATCTTAGTGAAAACTTCGCAGTTTGGTGCCCAGCCCTTGGCACCATTGTTTCTCCACCAGTACCACGGCAGACCAAAGACATGGCACTGCTTCCCAAAGCCCTCAGGGCTCCTTTCTGTACAGAGTACAGAGCTGATGGAGAGTCTCATTTCTACAGGAACTCCAGGACCATTAGGTCACCAGGATGCACTGTCACAGCTGCAGCATCGCACCTTGGCGGGCTGGAGGGATGCACAACTCCTGCTGTTCCTTTCCATGGCATTTGGGATAAAGTGCAGGAAAGCACTGGCTCTGACAGGCCACATGGGCACCAATGGCCCATGCTGATTGCTCCCCCATCCAAGGAGCCACAATGGGCAACCAAGCAGGTGAGCTGTCCTACACAAGAGGGGCCTGTGCTTTTCACAGGGCATCAGCGTTTTTAAGAGACAAGGAGACAAAGTAATGCACTCTGATGAAAAGCATGTATTTCTGTCAGCTGAACGGCTTCTGTGTCACAGTTCAGAGCAAGAAGTGGCACGCTGACAGGCAGGACCCAACCCACCTGCTCCCATGCACATGAGGACACTGCTGTCCCTGCTCCTGGCCCAGGGACAGAGGCACACACTGCAGGAACAGTGAACCACAACATGCCTTAAATGTACAGGTTGGAAAAGAACAGTAAACGTGAACTGACTTAATAAACAGTATCATAAACAGACTACGTATCCTTAAAACAAACCAAAAAGCCTACAAATCTGCCCTCAGAAGAAACTGGGAGACCCCACTTCATGCACTGCTGGCAAGTGCTCTGCAGGCTGCCTTGAGTGTACAGCTCGTGTGTTACACAGCCAGCAAGGGAGCACAGACAGGTGAAATGAGTTCAGTGAGTCATGGCAAAACTGGATCTGGCAGATAACAGCCAGCCTGTTAGGTAAGCATGTTTGCTCCAGGTAACATTCCTCGATCCTGTGACGAGAACAAGGCCCACTGCTGCACCAGGGGCTGCTTCCACAGGCTGCTCACTCCAGCCAGCTTTCTTCTCAAGGAAATGAATGGAAATGTGCAGATTACCCTTTAGAACCCTACCTCCATACTTGAAAAAGAAAGAAGAATCAAGGGTATCTGCCCATCAAAACAAGGAGTCACCACCATCACCTGAACTGGCTGCACCAAGCAGCTACCCCTGGAATCCCATGACAATTATCCTTGCCACCCCCAAAATTCAGACAAATTGCTGTGTCACAGAGCAAGGCTCTTCCTGAAGTCAAAGTCTAATTGTCACTATGGCACTGTTGTCCTCAGAACTGCAGTGCAGCTCTCCTGGAAGCCTCTGGAAACAGATAAACTCACACTGTGTGTTGGGAGGTGAAGGAAACCCAGGTGGGTGTGCTGCCTGTGGCAGCCAGAGAGGCCGAGGCTGAGGCCACACAGCACCCTGCTGGGACAAGCCAGCGGTGGCCAAAAAGCCCCACAAGGTTTCTGGAGATGCATCCCAACATCACACTGATGAGATCTGCTGAAAGACAACAGAGAGCACACAGAGCACAGCACTGAGCCACTGCCCAGCCACGGACACTGGGTCAGAGCAGGTTCTCCTCCTCACCGCTGGCACAAGGAAGGTGGCACCACAGCCAAAGGAAACCTTCCTGCCCACCACACACCATTAGCACTCCCAGGCAATTAGCGTGCCCAAATGGCAGGCAGGTGAGAGGGAAAAGCCCCAAACTCTGCTGTTGCGGGGTCACTGCCTGTGCTGGCACCACTCAGGAAAGGAATGGTGTGAATGAACTGTGCAGCATCGAGAGAGCAGCAAACACAAGCTGGACAGTCACAGATGAGTATCTCTGGGAAAAACCCTAAGAAAACAAGTATCAGTTACTTGCAATTATAAAGAAATTTGTTTTTCTTAGATCATGGAACATTGCTGGATTAACCTAAATTCAAAGAAATCAGCACCCTCTAATTCATGTCAAACGTCTCTGGAGCTTGCACACCACAGAGAGAGAAAGGACCCCAGGCTGTGAGTCTGTGCCCATGTGAAGAGTGTTACATGCCTGGGAGGCACATGCTTACAGCAAGAGGGTTACAGCAGCAGCAGCAGGCACTGCTGTCAGCTGCAGACCCAGCAGCCCTTAGATGACTTCAGCATGTATTTTTTAATGCTGTTCCCAAAATGGATTGATTTTCAGGCCATACTGGACCCCCGGAGTTCCACAGTGTAACTGGGCGTATAATATAGACCATAACACTTTGCAGAACACAAGACTTCAAGAGAGAGGAGAGGAGAGGAGAGGAAGAACATGAGGCAAAGAAGCCAACCCAGTCTTAGTGTTCTTACTTATTACTTCCCAGTGCTTCCCAGCTGTTCCTCTGCTTGTGCACTCCCCTGACATCTTCCTGCCACCCAAAGGTCACTGCAGGGCTCCTCCCTCCCGTGCCAGAGCCTTCCTGGTGTTCAGACTTCCCTGAAGCAGCCACGTTTGCAGTGACACTGCTGGTCCTGCCACCAGCCCAGCCCTCCCATGTCTGTGTCCCCAGCAGCACCCAGAGCCTGGGCATGCTCGTGGTGGCAGCTCCAGCCTGCAGTGAGCTCTGTGTAACACCAATCCCCACCATCCCTGTGAGCTGAGAAACCTGCAGGGTGTCTTTTCTTCGCTGTCTTACCCTGCTCAGCAGTAATTCCTGCCTCGGAAGCTGTCCAGCACGATAAGCCAGGTCCCTGCTCTGTAACCCAGAGCACAGCTTGTGGGACCCACTCACGAGATGCTCGCACAGCGGGATGGCAGGGGGAGATGTGGATGGCAGGGGGATGGCAGCGGGAGCTGTGGATGGCAGGGGGATAGCAGCGGGAGATGTGGATGGCAGTGGGAGATGTGGATGGCAGCGGGAGCTGCGGATGGCAGCGGGAGCTGTCTCCCAGCAGCCAAAGACAAACCCGAAGCCCGCAGAGGGCGAGCCCCGGGTGTTTTACTGCTGCACCCTGAGCACGGCCACCACCTGTAAGCCCGGAGCCGGTACCCCCGCAGGGCTGGCGGTGGCAAGGAGACCGTCAAGGGCTGGGAAGCAGCACCGGAGCTGTCAGCAGCCGGCGGGGAGCGCGGAGCGGGCAGCCCCTGCCATCGCCAAACGCTGGGGCGTGCTCGGGGCTCGGGAATGCTCCCGGCCCCATCACCGCATCCCCCGTCTGCTGCGTGACTCATCACCGACACAATGGGCGGCGGCACAAAGCGCCGCTCCCGCAGCTCCGCCCGAGTCTCCGCGCCGGGGCCGCCGCGGGAGCGGGGCCGGCGCCGCCGTCCCGCAGCCAAAGCCTACAAATC